AACCACAGGAGCTGTTGACCAATTTGTACTTTTGACAAATTAAGGAGCCAATTAGAATGGCTTGTAACAAACTAGAAACGAGCAGACAGGCATAAAATCTGGGCTGCTGCTTCATTCAGAACAATTGCTCCGCCTGAGGAAGGAGTGGGCTGCCTGATGATCTGTTTTTTAAGAGTTGAGAAAGAAGAACGGGCGGGGAACCTCCACCCCATCAGCTACACACGTATAAACGTAAGCAATTCTTTCTGGCGCTGAATTTTACAGCATAGATACAGCCATCGTGGATACTCTGAAAAAATCTCGATTTACACATATGCAAAACTGGTGGTAATTATTCACTATTAGGTCTGTGACAAGGTAGATGAGCTCACAGGAGGATAAAGGACTCCCTGGAAGAACTTAAAACAAGATTAAATTTACATGACCGATTACAATATAAAATACTAGCATAATTATTCTTATCAAAGATTAATGAGTTCTAAGACATATTTTGAGAAATGCAGTCATGCTCATCCCCAGACTGAGCAAGGATGGGCTCGTGGTCTCACAGCAAGCAGCAGCCCCGAGTGGACGGATGCCTCCAATATGGGGTCAGACTGCCCCTGCCCCGTGTTCCCTGACATCTTACACAGGTAGCAGTGCCACTTCCACACTGAATGACCTCTGGTGGGCAGGCTCGTGCCTCAGAAACCTAGGAGGCAGGCCAGGCAAGGATTCTCTTTCCACCAAACCTAGCAGAACAGCCTCCTGAGAGCCTTCCCTGGCCTACAGAAGAACATGGGAAGCGCTACTTCTCAGAAAAGGTTGTGTAATTATTTTTGACAGAGTGTTTCATGTATTATCCAACATTTCTCCATGTATAATAAAGTGCACAGAGAGCACTTTGTCAAGATAGTAAGATCACACATTCTGGCCTTAGAAATTCAGTAGAAGGTAAATCTAAATCAGATTCCAACTCATACAATTTAGACATCGAAGCATTTAAAAAATAAAAAGCCACTTGCTGTAACACTAGCTCATTTACAAGGTGACCCTGAGGCAACAGTTGTAATGGCAAAAAAAAAATGTGCAGTCATGCCCAAGTACAGCGAGTTACCTCTGATTTCTGTAATTAAACCATAGGTGAGGGTAGGGATGCACAGAAGAGTAGAAAAATGAATTTAATTCTACCTAATACAGGCTGCCTACCACTATGAAATATCATGAATTCGTTTTTTATTGCAACTTTAAAGGAATAGCTTACATGCATTGAACACTTGCCAAGTTAAGCACTTTGGGGAACTTATTTCATTTAAACAATACAGCAACCTTATGATGTGGGGTCTGTGATCCTACAGGGCAGGACACTAAGCGTGAGAAATAGTGGAGGAAGGGGTGTGACTCTGAATGCAGAACTCAGGCACAGAAGCACCAGGCTCGAGAACCCCTCTGTGAAGAAGACATGTCATCTTTAAGCAGTCTAAAGGCACTGTCATTTTGATTCTCTTACCCAAGAACTATAAGTTCAAATATTTTAAATTAAAAACATGCTAAGAAATATTGACCCAGATATCATAGCTGAGAGAATTCAAGCTATAAGCCTTACACATGACTTTAAGAGACATTAAGTTTCCTTTGCACTATATCTATGCAACCATTAGGGTATAGCTTAGTCTGTTTCATAATGCTTACATAAAAAAGTAGCTCTGCTATAATTAATATTTCAGACCCTGGGTGAATATCTGCTGTAAGTCAGTATTTCTTGTACTTAAGTAAATATTTCTGTTTGTTCTCACAAGTAATAAACAGGTAAATGCATATTCCCCTAATCAATGAGTAGGCCTTAGAACAACTAGGCCCAAACTAAATTAGGCGCCAGAGATTTCTAGATGAATGCAATTTTATGCCAATAAATAAAACTATATATTTTCACCCATTTAAACCAGCATCCATACAAGCACTGGTTTCTTGGCCTTCAGAGGAAGAGCCTGTCAATGCCCAGCTTTCCTAACATAGAAAAAAAATTGAGGACATGTTCTCCTCCCCAGAAATTTTCTTTGACAGTTGAACAAGGATTTATATTCCCACCAGAATATATATTTTACCTTCTTAAGGGAAGGAAGAAGACACTGGAAATATAACTTTTACCTTGAACAACAATGAATTCTTTTTGCTTTTTTGCTTTTGTTTTAAGAGAATAATAAAAAAAGAACAATGGCAAAATATCAACAACACAGACAAAAACAAAACAAAGCAAAAACAATAAAAATGATACAGGGTTTCAGAAAAAAATGATAGGAATTAACAGTGACTGTTATATTACATATTTTATCTTCAACAAAGTTGCTCAGATTATCAGATATAAGAATGCAAGATTGATCAAACCATTAAAGAGAATAAAAAATAAAAATGAAAAAATTTAGAAGTGATACAGGGTTTCACTAGACAAGATGGTAGGAATTCACCAATGGTTGTTATATTGCTTGGCATTGTCTTCAAATCAGTTGCTCATATTAGCAGATATAAGCATGCAAAGTTGGTCAAAAAAATTAAGCATGAACTGTTCCTTTCAATAAACCATTAGACATCAGCAGTACAGTTATCCCAGTTATCCTTCTATTTTCTATATTTTTTCCCTTCCTTCTTTCTTTCTTTTTCCCCTTTCCCTCATCCCAGTTGCTCCTTCCTTTGAGCAGTTTCTTTCCCTTTCATAATATCTATTGTACATTTTGGGTTTTATTTACTCTTTCAAGTTCTTACACTAGCAATGAATTTTTTTTAGGGCTCTCCTTAGAGAGTTTCAAAGAGTCCCACCCCCACACTGCACCGACAGATTTATATGCGAGTCATTAGACGGGCTTTTAATTCTCTATTAAACCCCAAGAGTTTTATCATTTTCTTTTTATATTGCGGGATCCCTTTCCCTTTGCGTAGTATTAGTTGCTTTCTTGTGCAATGGAAGATGATGTTTTTGTGGCCTGACTGGTTTTTTCTTTTTCTTTTTTTTTAACAGAATGAACAGTAATTTCTCAATTTGATCTGCAATCATCCACATAAACTTTTTCATGGAAAAAGAGAGCTAAGATTCATTGACTATCTACCATATGCCAAGCAATGTAGTAAGGTCTTCACCTAGTTATCTAAATACTTCTCACAATTACGCAGTTAGACAAGTGATGTATGTTTTATAGATGAAAAAAAACTAAAGTTCAGAGAGCTAAAGCACTCTGCTCAGTGCCGCCAGCCCGGTAAATGAGGAATCTGGCCTGACCTGTCTGACCAACCCTGTGAACTCATAAACTACCTGCCCCATAATCCACCGTAAACCCTCACTCAGGAAAGACTCATTTTGTTTCCTGCCAGGAGCTGAACGTCATCCATTTTCCTGGTCATCTAAACAAGCACCTTCTTTCAAATAATGCTTCACTTTTACTTGCTATTTAAGTTTTTGAAAAAAAGTAAAGTCAGGAGAACATCAGAAATCACACTGCCCTTTCTGCTTGAAATCACAGAGGACATGCATCCCCTTCAAGTTATCACAGTAAAGAGAGAAAAAAATACAGACGCGAAGACTGGACCTTTGAAGTCTCCAATAAGCGATATGTGACTTAATATCTCAAAATAATCACTCATTAGCAAATGGTTTATCCACCAGCAAAACCAAACATAGCACCCAAAAGATGGGTGCCACACACACCAGCCGTCTTTTCCGGTTTGAAAACAGGTCTGGCTTTGTCTTTTATCCTTACTCGGTATTTTCTTTGAAAGGTTTCTTCTCCCTTTTGTAACTTCCTCCCTACCCTGTCCCAGACAGTCCAACAGACCCCAAGCAGAGTCGTGCTTTCTGAGTAGATAGAATGCTCAGCCTTTAGAGCCCACACCTGAGAGATGCCACACTTGGTGGGACTAACCCCAATTCCTAGAATACAAGAGCTCCAAAACACTATGAGCCCAGGCATTTTTATATTAATTACAAAGAATGGCTGAAATACGCGTTTAAACATCAGAAAACCCAATCTTTCTTTTTCAAATTCCACTCCCAAGTTGGGTCCAACCAAAGCTACTTCATAAAACTGATTTCTAAAACACAGACCAATAAAAAAGAACCGCAAAAAAAACTAACTTTGCTCCACAAGCAAAACGTCCCATGAAGACTAAATGTCTTTTCCCAACAGTGCTATATAGCCCACCTCAAGGAATCAATTTGTCCAGCAACTTAAGTATTCCCCCACCTAATTTGTCACTCCTGAAGAAATATGTTATCGACACAGTTAAGATCTTACCTTTCTACAAATGACAAAATGGTGATTCAAAATTACTTTCTTCCATTCAGTTACGGAGACACTTGTGGCAACTTGAGGATCTCCAGGTAAAGCTCCCTCTGCCCTGCTCTGGCTCTCAGTCCCTCCCTTCCCCTTCAGTCAAACATTAACCGCTAACATTTTTATTGATCTTTGGAACACACTGAGTATCATAAAAGGTATCATTACATTCATTCCAGGGAAGAAGTGTGTGTGTACCAGAAGAAGTTCCATTCACATCGAATGCATCTCCAAACAGGTTGCTGAAATGTTTTTAATATGAATGAGTAAATTACTACAGAACACAAGAAGAGTAGAAAAACTTTGTGTATACTCAACTACCTATCTCCAGAGTGTGAAGTCTATAACATCAAAGACAGCTTTGTTTAAATTATGCACACGCCAACACTTTACAGAGCCAGTGTCTACAAAGCAGACTTGGTCAACAAATGCCTATGTGGATTCCGCGACAAATTCAGAAGACACCAAGTGCAGGCATAGGATGCCCAGTCTGAAAAGTGATGTAAGTCGTTGATAACGAGCCACTGGAGACGTAAATGACTCCAGCGATATGATCGTTGCCCTTGCTTCTGAAATTCAAGAGTGCCCTTCAAAGTCTGCATGAACAACCAATAATACTCTTTCCCCAAAAAGCACAAGTTGTTGTGGTTGCTGTGGCTGTTTTTATCGTTTCCCCCACAATTCAGGGAATGAACTTACCTCAAAGCAAAGGTTTCTGTTCCCACTCAGCTCAAGTCAATACCTCTAGACTTCTGAAGTCAAAACCTCTTTTAGAGTCCTGATTCCTAAATTCAATTGCTTTAGCAGTCTCTGGTGAAGATGAGAACTGATGCCACTCTGGGGATCAGCTGGGCCCACTTTTCCCTCCTGAAGTTCGTTTCTGGGCTTCTCCCAAGCTGGGCTAGAATCTTCCTTTCCTTTTTGGTGCTTCCAGCCCAGTGCAAGTACAAGGAGCAATCTCTCCTCCCTGCTTCCCGGGTCCCATGAGAACCTTTCCTCCGTGCTCTAGGTCACTGATGAGAAGAGACCTTGTTCGTTGTGAGGACACAAAAAGTGAAACCAACCCATTGCACCTCAGTGGTCAGAACCCCCAAAGGAGCCGTGGGTCCAGGAAGGCCCTTCCCCTTTTCCCCCACAGCCAACACCCCTCAGTTTAAGGAAATGGGGTCAGCGAGGCTAAGCACTTCTCAAATTCTCACTACCTCTGTCCTCCCATTGCCTGAACATAAAATAACCCTGTTCTACAAAATCTACTCACTTCCACTTGCCGTGTTTCACTTCCTCAAATCAGTAGCATTCTTCTCATGGCATTGTTCTGAAATGGGTTTGCATCTTTTCTGGAAGCTTTCTAGCAATTATGTAAAAGTGATCTTAAATCTATATAAGGTTTTTAAGACAAAAGTGCATGTTTGTATCATTTTAGGTGTTTGTTAGTAACATACTTCCATGTTCGCGGCATATATCTATTAAAAAAAAAAGTTTTCTCAGTTAATCTTTAGGATATGTCTATGAACAGATTCCAGTGTAAAGATAGAACACAGAGGCGCAGAAATAGTTTACATGTTGCCCAAGTCTTACAACCTGTAATGACAAAATCACAACTCCATTTCTGGTGTGTTGTGAAGTGCAGGTAATTCACACAACTTTAAGCCTGCTAAATTACAGTCCCACAGGGACAAAGTTCCTCTGTGGGAGCCCCCTCTTGATGGGAGATGGCCACACTCCTACCTGTGCTGCCCTGTACATTTTATAACACTTTTAGCAGTGGCTTCTAACTCAGAGAATCAGGTGGATTTAACTCTGAAAAGGCCCAAATCACCTACCAGAGACTGGCACAGGTGACTGCACTTCAGAATTAGACTCTGTCCTGTACCCTCTGGGATAAAAGGTTCGCATGGTTCTCAGAGTTGTTTTATATTTGTTACCATGGGTGACATATTCTTCCAGATTAAACCCAAAGATGAAGGGCATGCAGATTTCAGGGTGAACACCACCATCTCTTAGGAGTTCACTTGCATGCAAAAGTAAGACATTGCTAGTTCAAAAGTTTAATGCTGAGTAATAGGGATAATAAGACAAATACAGTTGATAAATATTAATGGTTTTCTTTTTCAGAGCAATGAAGATAATTTTATGATGGAACTAAGTGATCAGTGAAAAAGACTTAGGAATATGGTTTTAATTAAACAGCTTCATGAGAGTAAAAATATTATAGTACTCTTATCCATAATAACATTTTAACTATTCTCCCAACATTGGCCCTAGAAAATATATAACTGATGTTTAATATATGGAGGAGGCTAGTTAACAAGGAATAAAGTCTGGATAGAAAAAAAATTTATGAATCCATGGAATTATTATTAAAATTCAAAGTATGTTACATTTCTATTAGTTTTATCTTTTAAAACTCAAGTGGAGCTGGGTGTGGTGGTACATGCCTGTAATCCCAGCACTCAGGAGGCTGAGACAGGAGTATCATTGTGAGTTCAAGACCAGCCTGGGCTACAAAGTGAGCTCAAGGCCAGCCTGAACTGCATAGTGAGACCCTGTCTCAAAAACACACACAAAAAAAGTGGAAATTATGAGTACTAATATTTTCCATTTTTCATGTACTTTTATTTAATATGATCTTCCATTACATTACATATGCATTTTAAGAACAATTTGTCATGAGTCTATCTACACACAAGCCTTACCTAACAGGATTACATGACATTTTTAAGTTATTTAGTATGTGTCCTACGCTTATTAACTTAATCACAGCAAAAACTTTGTCTTCGCTGGGGATATAGCTCAGCGGCACAAGCACTTGCCTGGCAAGCCTGAGGTGATGAGTTTGATTCCTGGTACCAAAACAAAAGAAAAACTTTGTCTTCCATTGGTTCTTAGTAAATATTTTTCCCATCCAAGTACTAACCAGGCCCTACCCTGCTTAGCTTCTGAGGTCAGATGAGATCGGGCATGTTCAGTGTGGTATGGCCATAGACTTAGTAAATATTTCTTAGAAATGAACTCCCTTCAGTTATTTAATTGAATAATTCTAAATGGTCAGTTTTACATACAGGTTCAACCAAGGCTGATGGGAACCCAACCGAGTAGATGATTTTGCACCTGTTCCAACTGATAGTTCACATGTTTTATTTTACATGTATTTAGTAGAATGAAGTGAAAATAATTTTTTGATACTTGACGCTTTTGTCTGAAACAGAATCTTTCCCAATTACTGTCATTGGCCAGGACAGAGTTTATTCTCTGATAAATTTAACCAAAACACTACCACTTTCATGTAGCTGTTATGCCCCTTTCTGGTTTGTTTGGGTTTGGATATTTAGTTTGTTCAGTGGCTTTTTTTGTTATAAGTTTTGTTTCTGTTTTGTGCGGTTTTCTAAACCAGATCACTCTATGGAACCATTAAAGGAGTTAAAGCAGAAAACAAGATGAATCAGAAAGTCCAGGTAAAAAACACTGAACTGTACATAAAGCTGTTTCAAAATCCTAGCTGATAGCCACCTTGAACTCTTCCGAAAAATATTCAACAAAGGAGTTTGAAATTAGGAGAGACTTTTTTTTCCCACTGTTTGCTCTGACAAGAGTGGGCCCAGTTAGTAGTTGTTTAGATGGTTTCTCCAAGCCACTGCCCAGTAGGTAAGGCTGTCAACCACGGCCCCATGACATGAAACTGGTGGAGAACCCATGAACAGATTAGGAAGTAAGTATTCTCATCACCAGCTGTGCACTGAGCGCAACTTTCCAAACCTGGAGGGTTTATCAAAACTGGGCTGACACCACGGGTCAGTAGTGCTGAGACCCTGTGGAATCAACATTTTTTAAACACTCTGGGTTTCTGATGCAGATACATGGACTTCTATGAGAAACACTAGCCTCAGAATTCTGTATTTATCTGCCTGTAAATATTCTTTAGCAAGGTCTCTACTTAATTGAGATTAATTTTTCCCCACTTCACAAGACCTGTTTCTTTGGAATATCTCAGACAATAACGCAGGTTATCTCAGACAATAACACAGGTTATGCAGTGGTCTGATGTTGAACATGCCACGTGGATCTGGCAGACATAAACATGTATATCCTCCCCCAGACAATTTTTCTCCAAATCAGCTGAACTTTTTCTTTTACCTTGGGTTATCTTTAAATTCCAAGGAATGAGCATAATCTTGTTGGTTTCCTGAGACCTGTCTCTGTGTCTCTTATCAGATTTCACCACCAAGGCTTTATTCACATCACATTCACTGCATCTAACTTCTACCTCCATTAGCCCAGTGAAACCACATTCACCAAGGTGACCAGCCGCCTCATGATAAGCAAAGGACCCTTTCCAGTCCACACCTTATCAACCTCCCACAGCATTCAGTGGCATCCACGGCTCTCCTTGAGCCACCCTTGACACCCTGGCTTCCTCACCAGGACTGTGTCTTGGTCTTTCTTCTACCTCTCAAGCCAGCCCCTTGCACACCTATGCAGGGGCTCTGTTATGGTTTGTGTCCAGATGTCCCCCCAAAGCCTCATGCAGTCACAGGGCTTTTTCAGAGGTGGCTGAGGGTAGAGTATGCAATGCTGGGATTTAGGGCGCTGGAATTAAAAGTGGGTGATGGCTGAATCAGTCCACTGATTAGATTGGTAGTGCCCTAACCCTGGTAGATTATACAATATAAGGGACACAAAGAGGCTTGTCTGCCCCATCCCATGCTTGCTTTTGCTATCTTCTGCTGCCATGAACTGTTTCTTCTCTGAGATGCCCCTCTGCTAAGCCACCCTGCCTGGAACCCAGCCAGTTATGGACTGCAACCTCTACACACCGTGAGCTAAATAAACTTTTCCCCAGGCATTTTGTCTCAGCAATGACAGGAAAGTAACTAAGACAGGTTCCTTGGGCCCTCATGTCCAAACCAGATTAAGCTGTCACCCACCAGAGGAGATGGGCTCCCATCTGCATGCCAGAGTCTCAAGTCTCTCTCCAGCCCAGATCTCACCTCTGGTCAGCGTTCTAGTCTTCTGTGTCCAACTACCTAGTGTACAGATCTACTCAAATGTCCTGTGTGCTGTTTTAATCCCTCTAAAACATGCTTCTCTTGGTGTCATGCTAGCCCTGGAAGTCTCACACTGAGCCAGACAGTGTGCTGTGATTCATCAGCGGCCTCTCTCTTGGGGAAAAAGAGGAGGCAGATATGCAGGCAGGTGCGTGTGCTTCATTGCTCTTGCTTGGAAGTACTCTGTGACACGAATACTACTACTCACTCAGTAAACAATCATTTCCCGTCTCCACCTACGGGTTTCTCACTGAGGACGCTGAAACACTGGGTGCCTCTGGAAATGTGCCCTGAAGTCTTTTCAACAAATGGTAGGATAGATAACCACATGAATGTAACTGGATTCCTACCTCCCAACTATTCAGAAAAATTAAACTGTGTCAAAGATGTATATGCACAAGCACACTGCAGGGGAAAATCTTTCTTATTTGGACTTGGAAATGATTTGCTAGTGCTAACACCAAATCCATAAACAATAGGGAGAAAAAACAGGTAAGTTGGACTTCATCAAAATTAAGAATGCTTGTACTTCAAAAACACTACTAACAAATGCAGGTAGGATAAAGTTAGAGGATCACTGGTGCTTGTGAGACCAGGAGGGGGCAAAGATGTCAGAAACGTTTTAAACAAATTCTGCCTACCAGACCTTGCCTGGGCAAAGATCCCCAAACTCAAGCTCTCCAAGCCTGGAGCAGTTGATGGAAAGAAATTCAATGCTGGTAAAGAGGGCAGAGTAAAGCAGGTCCACCTGGGCCTGCTCAACCTCTCGTTGTCTATCTAGAGCACCTGCGGCCCACCAGAGATCACTTTCAAGCCAGACCTTGAAAATAGACAACACCATAGAGCACCCAGCCATAACTTCGGTTTGAGAAGCTGCTGGGAGAGGAAGAGAAGCTGGTGTAGACCGAGAGGGAGGAAGAGGAGCTGCACAACTCCAAGAAAGTGCTGGAGAATGTGGCCAAGGACTCCAATCTGGAGATAGA